ACATGTGCTTTATATATTTTAAAACGGATCGAGTACAATTGAGTAACAGATCAGCATTTATATTATAAATTCTATATACAAGCACAAGCTGATTTTGCTACAATTATATTGCAATATTCAAATAAACAAACCAACTACTATACAACGCTTGAACTTAATCAAGTAATATATAACAAAGTAAACAAGATTTTAATAGCTAAAAACGGAAGAGGAGAAACAATAAATACAAAAACAACAGAAGTTACAAAATATGAAATGGAAAACCTGACTTATTTTTAATATAAGAAACACCTAAATTTTCACAGTCATACGTACAGTATATAAAACATACTTGATATATATGTGTATCATCCAATATAGCCATAACGTATGACTTGACACAATATGCCACCACTTACTGCACATCACAGACCAAGGCAGAAGTCGCCCACCTAGATAGAAGATATCAAAAATATAATAATTTTTTGAGTTTGATTAATATTTCGCATCAGTAAGATTTATTTAGAGCTGTTATGTAATCCGACACAAAAAATTATTGAATTTAGAAATTCTAATGATTCATTTTTTTATTATAAATATAAATTCAAAAATTGTATTCTTTATAGTTATAATTTAAAAAGTTTAATTTTTTTTGGTATAACCGTTTTTACAATAAAAAAGTAAAAAATTTTTGCAAATATAAAGGGTTTAATATTTAATAAAAGATGGTTTGATTCGAATAAATAAATAAAATTGACTAAATAAATGGCTTAAAACCCAGTATTCAATATTAAAAAGCCCAAGAGAAAATTATTATGAAAATGTAATCAGCAATTCTGACTAGCAAAAAAATCTCATAAACTTATCAAATACTATCAGCTCCAGCCATCTCGTACCAAAGAATTCCCATGATAAAGTGAAAAAGTGATTGAGCCTCGTTATCTAACCAGACTTGTAAATATTCAGATTGTTGCTATAAAGCTCATTTTGAAAGAGTTATTTTGCTAAAATCATTTTTGCAATAGCGACAAAATATTTTCGATCTAGTGTATATTATTAATAATATAAGTCGCCAAGAGAAAGTTTTCATAGCAAATCGCAAATTTAGGCTGATTTATTTTCTTACTAGCACTTTAACGAGGCTTTAACAAGGTTTTTTGACAAGTATAAATAATTAGTAATTTTCTACACTCTGTCAAAAAACCTTGTTAATAGTGCTAGTAAGAAACTAAATCTGTCTAAATTTGTGATTTGCTATAAAACCTTCCTCTTGAAGACCTATATTATTAATAATATACACTAGATCGAGAATATTTTATCGCTATCACAAAAATAAACGATTTTAGCAAAGTATTTAATAGCAAAACCCAAAGGAATAATATAATCTTAATCTGAATAACAGTTTTCACAGATCACAAATATTTCTGATATTTGATGAAATGGAACATATTGTAGTAAAAAGATAAGTGTATGTCTTTCAAGCTAACAAAGTTGAATATATTAAACTAATTATAAGTTAATTAAGATCTTGAATCATATATATACTGCATAAATAATTAAGTTCTAGTTATTATTAATTTTTCTTGGAATTTATATTTAATTGTACCCAATTTTTCCCGTAATTAAATTTGGAAGTCAACCTGGAAATTTTATTTTATTTTCTAGAGAATAAGGAACTTCTTTTACTCCGATTTCATAGGCACTACATAATCGAATACTAAATTTTTCAATTTCTTCTAACAAGATTTTGACTTCGTGGCGGATAGAATTTAAATAAAGAATTTCAAACTCTTTACATTCTCCATTTATGTTATATATTGTATCATTTATTTTTTGCTAAATATCATCAATATCTATAATTTCTTCTGAAAGACCATTACCTTCTTCAACTGAATCACGAATATCTTTAGCTTCGATAATTGTATCATTCAACATACTTATTTTATTACTAAAAGTGGGTTGAATTTCATAAATTAAATATGAATCAATATTTTCTATAGCCAAAGAATAATTATCTTGTTTTAATAAATGATTCTCATTTGAAGTTTTATAATCTTCAGAATTGAGGGTCAACGTTGTTTGTATGGATTGAAATATGGAATATAAATAGTTGAAATATTCAATTTCTATATATGAAGCAGAGTAACCACTATAATGCAAACCTATAATAAGATTCTCAGGAGATGGCACTTTATAAAATTGATTATTATAAAGAGAGAGCAAATTTTCTGTTATTTTAATAATGTCAAAATTGAGAGATTGAGCAAAGTTATCATTAATCGTTCTATTTGATTAACAGTAAAATAATGTAGAGTATATATTTTGGTCTATTACATTATTTCTTAGTTTATAATTAGAACAAGAAATTTGGGATTTATATGAAGTTTCAACGATAAAGGAATGTTTCAAAATTTCTAAGATCTTCTTAACGAAAAAAGATGTTCATTTTGATAAATGTATAATATTTTTCGTAATATTATAAACTGGAGAAGAATTTTTATAATTTGCATCATTTGTGAATAGCCGACCTTTGATTTTTTCACTATTATCTGAGCAAATGGATTCAGATTTGTAGATAGTCCTCGTAAATAAGAAGGAAAACCTGATAGCAAGAACAGGGAACAAAAAGGGATGAATCACATTTACTATTAAAATCAAAGATGCAAAAATCAAAGTAGCAATGATCAAAGAAGTCAAAAAAATTAAAATCAAGAAAATTGTATAAGTAATTTTTAGCAATAGAAAAATAAAAGAAGAAAAAATAATAGTAGTAACTGTATAGGCAATTCTTAGCAATAATGCTAAGAGTTTTAAACTGTTTTTACTTGACATTTTGTAATTGTAATTTTTAGTCAATTCTGAAAACTATATTTTATATGATTCTTTTAATACATTTTTTCGTAAATGAACTTGTTCAAATAAGGAAATAATTAAAACAATTTTGTTTTTATGCTATCTTTGCTGCCGTGGTTATTCGTATTACCTATTTTACAAAGCATTAAAATGAAACTCCAAGATAAATATGATTAATAATATTTTTTGTGTATATAGTGCTGATCTGTTACGCAATTAATACACATATTTTTTAATTTAAATTTTTTCAACATACAAATATGTGAAAAACTATAAATACTATACAATAGGATTCTAAGAAAGTTGTAGCATACTATTGCAAAAGGCTTTGTTCAATGTTAATTTATGCCATCTTCGCCATCTTCGCCGTGGATATTCGTATTACCTATTTTACAAAATAAAATAAAACTTCAAGTTCTGTATGAATATAGAATTTATAATATAAATGCTGATCTGTTACTCAATTGTACTCGATCCGTTTTAAAATATATAAAGCACATGT